TTTCTTTTTTTTTTTTTTTACTGCTCACGTTTCAGAAGAGGAAATACGACTACTAGGTCAGGTAGATTTTCCGCAAGAGAGGTGCATTAACTACTTGACGCCCGACGAAGCACACGAGGAGATTCGTGCCGCCTGGCAAAATCGTGAGTACATCTTTTTTCTTTTCTTCTTCGTTTTATTTCCATGATGATTGACATGATCACTATTGCTAGATTGATTTCTATTTATGGCGACTGAAAATTAAATCAATACAGTATAATTTTCAATGTTTCTCCACATAGACATAGACATAGCTCAAATAAAATTACTTTATTGATTACTCATTGAAATTTTCCAGTAGGTTTAATTTTGAATTCGTTTGTTTCATTCAAATCGATTATTCTTTATTTTATTAAAAATTTTTCCTCTATTAAATAGTATTCGAGCATTTGTTATAGTATTTCAAAATGTTTTACAAGCAAATTTTCTAAACAATAGAAATGCATGTTGTTTCGCAGGAATGCAGAACTTGAGTATCTCCTGTTCTCTAGTTTGCTTGATCATTTTGGGCACAGCGGTTCTCATTGGATTTTTTGGACTTTGCAGACACCAAATATCAGCGGTCCTTGTTACCGGTGTGATGTATCTTTTAGCAGGTGAGTTTCTTCAAAATTCTTTTCAAAACGTCATTATAATTAGTCCCATTAATCGAATAAATTTTATCCATTTAAAACATTATATACTTTCGTGAAACCCGGTAACCGCAAAGATTTCTACGTGCTTAAAAAGTCGACCACAAAATAAGCTGTTCTAAGAGTGAAATACATTGTTAAAAGTTTCAAGTTTGGTTCATGTAAATTTCTCGTGTTTATTCATTGATAATAAACGCAAAAAATGAAATTGGTTTTCAAAAGTAAGCGTGAAGAATGAAAGTACAAACCAATAATCACAAGTATCCAATTTACATTTTCGTTGAACTTTGTATTTTGAATTGTGCCACGAAGTAAGCTTATTTTTTATCAAGGCTTCAATAACTTTTCAATGAATAACAAAAGTGTTTTCTCATTCAATAAAAGAGTTTCTTTCTTGGCACCAGTAGTTGTCGTCGAGTACGATAAAAGGCAAACATCTCTCGCTATGATAAGACGTCATCCAAACACTCCAAACTATACCGCATTTTTCTCTTATATCTTTTTCTTCCAATTAACTCTTTTGTTTTTCCTCTTCCATTGATTCAAATTCGTTACGGAGTTTCATTATTAAAATAAAAATAAATAATTCAATTATTTTTACTGGAAAAAAATTTTCTTCTAATATGAAACAATTGTTTTAGCCACATTCGCATTGTTTACCCTGACGATTATTCACTTCAAGAGAGCTCAGGATCGTGGAGCTCGAATACTGGATGGCCCTGAGGATGGTGTAATTGGTGGACCGGTTTCTCGTAATGTTCTCAAGGCCAGACGATTCACCAGCTCCTGGAGCATGGATTTTGGATGGGGTGGTGTTACGCTTTGCGCCCTCGCCTCGGTAGCGTGGATCTTGCTCAGCAAAATAATGCGTTTCAGCCCCATAGCCGCTATGATAGCGTAGCAGTGGGAGGCCTTCGAGGTCTAAGGTCGTTTCCAACATTTATGAAAAAGCGTTTTGATGTCGTCGCCTCTTCAAACATGTTCCAAATCTGTGGAGGGAGATTGCGTTCGTCCATAATGGGAAACAGGTCACCGGAAACGATTGTGTAGTCTATTTTATTCTAATTGGAAAGTGAATCAGTTTGATGGGCAGCTCAATACCATGTTTTGTAAGCTGTGGAATTTTCATTGTGTAAAATAATCAATTTGAATGAAATTGTTCACAGTTTCTAATATGAGAAAGCTTAGGCTGAAAGTTTAACATTTGAAAGATTAATTATTTGAAAACAGGGTACGACATTGAGACAAATTTTAAGAGTATTTTTTCCAGAAATGGTATCACGGTTGAAAATGACCACCTCGAAGGCAATTTGTTTTATTAACAGGTAATATGTATTGCATAGTGTTTATCAAATTTATGGAACCTATGATGAATCTGTCTGAAAGCATGGCAAGCTATGGAAGGAGTCTAATTTTTGGGCTAACCTTCTGTTTTATACAATTTATCTAACAATCTCTAATCTTTGAAAGAAGAAAAAAAAACATACATAGTTGGGTGAAGAACTATATGTAGAAGAGGGATATATAAGTTTTAAAATAATATATCTTTAAATTTTCAAAACTTTAAAGTTTTGCACAGATTTATGTCCCAATGGAAATAATTGAAAAATCCCCCTTTTCATATAGACCTTTACGATAAAATAAATTATTTGCAGGTACATGGATATAAGATAATGTACAGGAGGAAAGTAAGCTTTCTGGACTGAAGAAGTATTATTCAATGATAAGTAGAACAAAATACACGTTTACCTCAGTTTTGATTTGCAGTCAGATTAGTCAATTAATGTACAAGTAAAGAAAATCTTTACTGATTCTAATCTATCTTTTTTAGACATAATTTTAATATACTTCTTGTATATGATCTTTTTACAGTTGCAATAGATATATTTGAGTTTGCGTAACAATTGATTTGAAATAAGAATATTTTTATGCGTTGTAGAAGTTGAGACAATATTTGTTGACCTCTGCTTGAAAATTTTGACACAAATTGTAATGTAACATAGATGCATATAGTATAATTCGATCGCCTTATAATTAGAAAGATAAGCATGTTTGTAATATGCATAGCATAGCAGTAAACTTGTTCGAGCCAATACAAGCAACGATATGCGTGTTTGCAAGAAGAATTTAGCTTTTGCTACGACTTGTTACAGCAAAAAAAAAGAGGAATTATGCCAACAAAATGTATCATATACAAAGGATTGTGAATTACAATTACAATTCGTCCATTAAGATTTAAGAAAAAATAAAGATGCTTTGATTATGGAAGCATCTATTATATTACATACCCGGAGACTAAG